AGATAAACACATGCAATTTGCAGCAACATGGATGGCGTTGGAAGGGATCATGCTCAGCGAAATAAGCCAGATAGAAAAAGAAAAATACCGGATGGTCTCACTCATAGCAGGAATCTAGAAAACTTAAATAAGGGACCAGGAAAAAGATAACTATAAGAAAGTGAAAATCAAAATCAACAAAAACTATGAACCAGAGACACTCTATGGGGGGGGGGGGCATGGAGGGGAGGATTGGGTCAAAATAAGGGATTGCAATTGTATGGGGAATATAAATATAAAATTTATTTGCTTTCTCTTTCTCTTCTTCTGGGACCCATGGGATATGGGTGTTATTTCCCTTTAGGTTATACCAAAGAGCTCCTTACACTTTTTTCATTTTTTGATTCTTTATTCTTTTTTTTGTTCTGTTTGTGTGTTCTCTACCCGTATGTATTCAAGCTCACTGATTCTCTCCATTACTTGCATTTGTCTAGTGTCGAGACCCTTTACTGTATTTTTTAAGTTCAGGTAAAATATTTTTAAGATCCATGAGTTCTATTTGTGACAGTTTCATATTTTCTCGATCTTCATACTGTATTCCTGTTTTACATTATCCTTAACTCAACGAGCATGGTTATAACTATTATCCTAAACTCCTCTTCAGGCATATTCTTCGGTTCTGCTAGGTTGAGACTTCTCTTAGGGTTTTGTTTGTTTGTTTGTTTGTTTTTGCTCCAGCAGTTTTTTTTTTTAAGATTTATTTACTTATGCATACAAGAACTGGGGTACAGGCCAGAGGTGTTGGGGGTGAGAGGATTCACTGGAGTCAGAGTGGGGAGCAGAACAGGCAGACTGACTGAAATATACTGCTGAGGGGAGCAGCAGGTGAGTCAGGAGAGGTCTGCAGTGCCATGTGGGTCAGCTCCCTGGCCGGCCAGGGATCGAACTTGTGCTGCAAAGGCTGCGGCCAGCTTCACAGTGCTCTGCTTAACCCCTTGTGCCACCAGGGAGGCCCTGCTCCAGCGGGTTTGATATGTTCTTCAGACTCTTAATTTTTAATTTTCATGAGTTGTAGCAGGGAGTTTTCTTATCTTACTAAATTGACTTCATACCCCTCGTATAAGAAGCTAGGCACAATCCTATGTTTTTAACCTAGTACCTTTAGGTGCCTACTCTTTCACAAACAAGTGCCTTGGTACCTGTCCAGATGACTGGGGCACTGGTGATGGTAAAGAGGCAATCGGTACAAAAGAACTGGGGCAGTAGAGCACCAAAATTTTGCCTCCAGTGAGCATCATTATTTAAGCTTCCTGTTGTGCTGTGGGTACTCATGTTCTGTGGTGGGGAATCCAAGTGATTCCCTCCTCTGGGCCAACTTGTTAGCCAAAATACGTCATGTAGTCTCTTGCCAGCCTCAGCCTCTAGGCTGTGGTTGAATTCTAGATATGGGACTGGGAGAGGATTATGGTTAAGACAGGGCCACAAACCAGGACTTATCTCTTTACTTTTCAAGTGTGGCGACTTACCAGGGTGCTTGCTGCTGTTATTAAGATCCAGGTGCTTAAACTCTGGTTAGTGAGATTATTCAGTCGTTTCAGCTTTTGTCTTGTGGGGGGTGAAGAGGGTAAGCCATGTTTTTTGAAAATCACAACTTTCTGCTACAAATAGTAGCCTTGTCTAAGAGGAGGCCCAGGTGATCTGATCTCTCTGGCTGCTGGTTTGGGCTCCGACTGTACTTGATTGGAAACTTCAGGCTCAACCCAGAAATCACCATTCTGTACCCCTACTCTAATAGTTCTCTAGTAGTGAACTCTCTGCTCTGCAGGCCAACTCTGTGCAGCCCCTTCTCCGGCAGAGTGCCGGGTCTCCAAAACCTTTCATGTGGGTGTGTGCCCCTGAGTTAACAGCAGCATAGGGGCTCCACTCGGCAGCCACCGTTCCCTCTGCTCGGTTTCACTGCTCTAATGTCTCTGTAAACACAGTTTTATTATAGCTTGTCCTACCTTCATTGCTCCTGGTGTATGTGAGAATCATCCATTTATCTTTTTTTTTTTTTTAATGCAGGCAGTGAGAGGGCTCCCCAGAGACAGAGTGGGGAGCAGAACAGGCAGACTGATTGAATACACTGCTGAGGGGAGTAGCAGGCAAGACAGGAGAGGTCTGCTGAGCCATGTGGGTTACCTCCCTGGCCGGAGATGGAACTTGGTAGCTTCATAGTGCTGCGTCTTAACCCCTTAACCCAGGGAGGCCCCCATGACGGGTATTCTTATAAAAAGAGAGAGATTTGGACAGAGACAAGCACAGAGGGAAGAGGAACGTGAAAACACACTGAGGAAGGGGCCATGTGATCATAGAGGCAGAGATTAAAGTGATGCTTCTACAGACCAAGGATTGCCAGCAACCACCAGAAACCAGAAAGAGTTAAGGAAGGATTTTTCATTCCAGGTTTCAGAGGGATTGCCGCTCTGCTGAGCCCTTGATTACAGCTTCTGGTCTCCAGAACTGTGAAAAAATAAACTTCTATTGTTTTAGCCTCTCAGTTTTTGATATTTTATAATAACACCCCCTAGGAAACTAACATAAACCCATTTATTGGGTAAATAAAAATTTACATTTATACATTGAATTCACATTCAATGGGTGTGGGTAAAGCAAACTGTGGTACATCCTTCAACTGAGTAAAACATGGTTGAATTTCAAAAACATTATGCTTGAGTGAAAGAAGCCAGTTTCCAGAGGTTACGTCCTGCATGATTCCATTATGTGATATTCTGTTAAAAGCAAATTTGTAGGGACAGAGAACAGACCAGTGTTTTCCAGGATTGGGGAGGGACCAATCCTGGGGAAAAAAGGGGAACTCATGAGGAAAATTTTTAAAGTCATGGAACTGCTCTGTTTGTGGCAGTGGTTACATGGATCTATGCCTGTACGTCCAAAAAGAGTTAATTTTATGGTCTATGAATTTAGCTATTTTAAAAAATGAAAATATACACACACATATAACCGAAATTATTTTTTTAAAAAATACTTGAAAATAAAATTTCTGTCTGGGTCTTTGCCAGAAGGATTCCTTTGTGAGGGCTCTGCTATATACCACATCTTGTGTTCTATGTCCCTATGCTTCTATCTGTAAAAGGAGATCTGTCTAAAGTAATGGTTTACATAGACCCCCCCCTTCCACACACACACATACCTAATGGTGTCTCTGAACACTCCTCTTGTAGAAGCGGAGGTAAGAGTGGGTTTGGGAATAAAAGATATTGCAACTGCACCGAGCTTTGGACACACAGGTCTGTGTCAAGCAAAGTAGCTGTACTTTGATTATGTGTATATATATAATCACCTAGAACCCTCTGGATTAGGATAGCTGGTTCCAAACTAGCACTTGGGGGAGGTTGAATAATCCTAGATTCCAGGGCACACATTCATTAGTTCTTTTGGCAAGTGCTGTTGTGGATCCCAGTATATACCGAGGCTCTGGTTCTAATGGTCAGTGATTCTAAAACAAGGCCTTTTGGGGTGGAGGTTGGAATTGTATTTCTTGCTTGCATATGGGTTAAACACAATGATACAATGGGAACTCTGATGTAATGGCTAGAAATCTAGGCCTCCTCTGAGGTAAGGTCTTAAAGAAACTGAAGCTATTGGTTTTTTTTTTTTTTTATATAGAGGCATGTTTTATTTATTTATTTGTTTGTTTGCTTGTTTGTTCATACATGCACTGGGTACAGTCAGAAGCGCGGGAGTGTGAAAGAATTCACCAGAGCCAGAGCGGGGAGCAGAACAGGCAGAAGGACCGAAGTACACTGCTGAGGGGAGCAGCGGGCGGCAGGAGAGGTCTGCGCGCCATGTGGGACCCTCCTCCCGTGGCCGGGGAGCAGCCGGGAATCGAACCGGCGCCGCAGAGGCCGCGGGCAGCTTCGCAACCCAGCGCTCAACCGCTGTGCCACCGGGGAGGCCCTGAAGCTATTGGTTTTTGCAAACAGGAAGATTTTGGGGAAGAACACTTTGTAGATAACTACGGGCTCCTGACAGATGGGGCAAATACCATTGTGAGGTTGAATGTGTTGACCCTCAACCAAGAGGGCCAAAGAGCATCATTAATAACATGAGCTGCTCTTCACTCTAAGCATGAAACCATTCATGTATAGGTCCCATGCAAAGGAATCTAATTGTCACCACAACACTGTGAGAGAAAGGCAATCACTGCTTTGACAGGTGAGGAAACAGAAGTTCTGAGAGGCCCCAGGTCTTGGTGAGATGATGTATCATAGGTGACAGAGCTGTATCCTGGCTAGCAGCTCTAGCTTTCCACACCACAGTCCATGAGGAGACAGAACTCCTTCATCCCTACATCTTTACCCTCCTACTCCTGCCCCACATCCCACTCCCAAACCTCACCCGCACCCCTCCCCACACTGTACCCCCACAGGCTTGCGGTCTCTCAATACTGTGCCCTGGACAAGGGAACTTCCATTTCCATACAGGCTGGTGGGGATTGCGGAAGGCACCTTGAGACTTTGCCACCTAGCACAGCACTCAAGAATTATTTTAAAACTTCATATAATGGAATGATATCTTTGAAAACTATTTTATATCTAAATTCTTTCCAGAAAACCAGAATCGGACTACTGTGGTTGAGGGTGGGACTAAGGCTATCCTGAGGCTCCCCCAGGGCTCCCAGAGCACCCTGATAAAGCCAGTTAGTTTGGTACTAACTGTGAGAGGCAGAGGGTCACTACGAATTTAAGGCTCTGGCTTTGGGTTGGGAAGGACCAGCCAGCAATCTGGGGGGCTTACTCTTGGATTAGTTGGGCAAGGGCAGGGCTCAGGGTTCAGGCCATCTGAACTGGGTACAACCCCCTACCCCCAAGCCCCCAAACCTTCACGTCCGCACCCCTGCAACCCCCAAACCTCCCAAACCTCCACCTCCTCACCCCTAAACCCCCCCCCCCTCCCCAAGCTCCCACTCCCCCTTAGGTCCCAGCAAACACCACAGGATAAGAACAATTTTTTGCCGTCTTACTTTAATGAATCTGATTTAAAGATAAGACTCACTAAGCTAAAAACTCCAATAACCCTCTCCCTTTAAGCTTGCCCTTCTAAAAGGCATTGTGTGATTTTCTTAACCAACAAAAGTTCGAGTTTATTGTTGGTGTAGAATCCAGAGCCGATGTCATGGGCTGGCCGGGATGTTTCACATCGGCAACATCAAACGGACCTCCTTCTCATAGATGTCGGGGATCACACCCACTGGGGAATCGACCATGTGCACTGTGTTCTTGCTATATAGTTTGAATTCATAATGGATAAGTTGTTCCCAAAAGCCGTTGTTAGGCCGGATGATGGGGCGGCAGGACTTTGTCCACGTGTGGGCATCCAACAGTGTCATGGCATGGTACTTCATGAGGTAGGCGAGGCAGAGGGCGGCGGAGCGACTCACGCCAGCAACGCAGTGCAGCAGCGTGCGGCCTTGCTTCATTTCCACACTGTGGATGTGATCAGCAATAGGGTCAAAAAAGTCGTAAAGGCGTGAGCTGGGAGCATCGGCCACTGGCACCTGTACATATTGAATGTCTTCATAGAAGGTGTTGACCACCTCCACTGAAACGTTGATGACTGTGGTGATGTGGTTGCTGGACAGCATTAATTTATTATTGGCAGCCACACCATTACTGATGTACAGGCTGTTGGTTATCTGGGAGAGGCCATGGACCGAGGGCTGTGGGACAGCCTGAGTCGGAGGGGGGCACGAGGATGTTGTCATAAGGTGATGGAACTGTGGTCTCTCTGTGCCAGTGCAGGGCACCACTCCCGCCGCAAATTCAGGAAGCAGCAACGCCGCAATGTGTCCGGAGAGGGTGTGGGGGAGAGAAGGCCAGTCACTGGTCACTAGCCTCTCCCTACCCCCTGCGTCACAATGCCCCTCTGCCAGGCATTCTGGTTTCCATGGCAACAGCTGCTGCTGCTGGGAGGACTTGGAGGGTTCCTCAGAGAAACTCTGAATATCTTTTTCTTTTTTGTCTTTCTTCACAGTGGTTTATTTTCCAAGTCCTAATTCTTATCTGTCTCCCACGTTTTAAAATGTTCTGTTACAAGATATCTATTTTATGCTTCAATTCTAGGACTACACTGAACACTATAAATGTTTCTATTGTATTGAAAAACTTACACTTTTTCTGCAAGGGGCAGTATCATATTTTAAGTTGGGGAACAGCATTTGGCTCATGTGATATGCTAATCTCTATCAAACTGTAGCCAGATAGGGGTTTGGCCCCCCTGGGTGGGCTGCCCTGATATGGCTTTGATGATTGTAGCCATGGAATCATGCTCTGCTTACAAGCACATCAGGACTGCTTATAAGGAACATTGCTTACTGATATACCCTTTATCTATGGTAAAGTTGTCTGGTGGAGGACAGTTCGCACTAATTAAGCTGTGTCACAGTTCATTTGTACATACAGCCCAAATGATTTATCACTCGATTCTACTTATTACCTGAAACAACACCTCATATTATTTTGTCTACTTTTTTCAAAAGATTTCCCACATACAAGTCATTTTGACAACCACGGGTGATCTCTTCCCAGATATGTTAACATTTCTGCAATAAGTCAGTGCTACATCATAATTGGGCCCAAAGTAGATTTTAAAAATTTTACTTGAAATTTACTTCTCTCAGTTAAGATTTTTGTAGAATTTGACTGAAGATTCAAAAGAACTATAACTTCAAACTAAAAAATTGTTTCACAGAGCAACTAAGACTCATTACTTCAGCCTCATTCCCCATCATTTTGGATTCTGTGTAAAGGTATGCTGTGACTATAGGCAAAGATAAAATGGATGCCAGCCTGTTTCTGAATGGTCAAGGAAATGATAACTTGAAAAAAACAGCACACTTTTCTTTGTCTCAGATAATTTTGTATTACTTAAATTGTCAGGAAGAAAACAGAACACAAGTACTAAATAAATATGAAAACATATTGTTGGGGATAGCTCAATTGGGCTAAAGTTACTTTTTTTTAAAGATTTATTTATTTATTTATTTATACAAGAACCAAGGTACAGGCCAGATGTGCAGGAGGGTGAGAGGATTCACCAGATACAGAGTGGGGAACAGAACAGGCAGACTGATGAAATACACTGCTGAGGGGAGCAGTGGGCGAGACAGGAGAGGTCTGCTGCGCCATGTGGGTAGCTCCCTGGCCAGGTGTCGAACTCGGGCTGCAGTGGCTGCAGGACTGCTTCATGGGTTGTGTCTTAACCCCTTGCATCACCATGGAGGCCCTGATTTTTAAACTTTGAAAATGTAGTAGAAGTAACCAAAAAATTGTATTATTCTCAAAGACAAGTGTGATTCTATCAAGTAGATTCATTCATTTATTCTTTAAGCCAATATTCCTGTGAGGCATGTTAGATGTTTTAAAACTCTGCTGTGGGGGGTTTCCTGAATAAATAAAGGGTTTTTTTTGTTTCCTCTTCCTGAATTTGGAAACAGGTCGCTTTCCAATTCCCACCTCTCTACTTTTCCTTACTATTTAGGGAAGAACATGTATAAGAGATTTGCCAAGAACACACTTTCTTTCCACCATTGTGGAAAGACCCCATATTAAGAAATAGTTAATGTTTAGATTTCTCAGTTCAGTAGTGAAGGCATTTTCCAATATGATCTAAGTCTGATTTTCGAATCTTAAGAATCTATTGTGCCCTAGGCATTTCACCTATATAAATTTTCAGTACTGACCAAACAAATCAAATATTTTTGGTAAATACTGAGGGAGATAGGAATACATGACCCCAAAATAATATGCCACTTTGGCATGTGGATTGTCTTAAGCTGAAGACAATTAGGACCAAAAGACTCAGGAAGAGTTTTTATCTCCCCTCCTTCCCCTTTAACTTAAAGGAATTTAGATAGAAGGCAGGAAGTGAGCTATTATCAGGGAGTTAATTCCAATGGATATAAGCTAAATGTGATAGACTGGGGGAATTTGTTAAGCCCTGTTTGTTCAGATTCCTTCCTGAGTCCTCACTGTCTTTGCTTGGCATGACAAACATTTGGTCCTAATTATCAGACTTTTGATCTTCTCATCTTCCTGTGAATTGCCTTCCTTCCCTTTGAATTCCCAGCTCTATAAACCCTCTCCTTAGTCCAAGATGGTATATACAGCTCATTTTGCCTGAGTGTCTCTGAGCCGCTCTTGCCAGCGTGACACACCAGTAAGTAATTAAGTTGGTTTTTCCTCCTGTTAATCTGTCTGATGTTAATTCAACCCTTGTCCAGCTGGAGAAGCTAGAGGGGAGAGGAAAAGTTTTCCTCCCCAACAATATAAAATAGACATTCTTGCTTCCTTTTTTCTTGCTATCCCTCTCGCTTGAGAAATCTTTCATGTTCCTGTCAGTTTACTAAATCCTATCCAAGCCTCAAAACCCAACTTCATTAATAAAAAAAGAAAAAAATTAACTGATCATCCAATCTGTGTCAGGTATGTTCCTAGCATTATGGTGATCCAAACTTTTAAAATAATATTAGCCAAACTGAGCTGTCCCCAAAATTTTTCATATTTATTCAGTATTTGTTGTGATCCAATACAACACACACAGACCCAGATATCAAAAATCTTGTAGTTTGGTCAGAGAGATAGACAATCACATGAGAGTGCAGAAGAGTGATTCATTGTTTTATATGCATGCATTTGGGGACAGACACAGTCAGAGGATGTCATAAAAGGATTCACAGAAAACATGACCTGGGACAAAGCTTTTTGTTCATTTGTTTATTTATATTACATAAATGATATATATTATATAAGCTATGTTATATAAATATTATATTATTTATTGTTTATTCTGCACAAGGTTTTGTGTTGAAAAAATGTGAACCTATAGAAAAACTATAATTGAACAATGCTGCTACATATCCTAACAGTATAATCCCCACAGAAAGGGGAGGATTCAGGGGTCTCCCTAGTGGCACAGGGGTTGAGTCTCAGCACTATCAAGCTATCACCAGCCACTGTAGCATGAGTTCAATCCTCCACTAGGGAGCTAACCCATGTGGTGCTCCTGTCTCGCCCACTGCACCCCTCAGCAGTGTATTTCAGTAGATCTGTTAGGGGGAAATAATGTCCTGAGTTAATCCCATGCAGGCTTTGTGGACCCCACCCCCACTCCAGACTAAAGCCATCAAGACATTGGGAAAGACAAATCCCATCACCACCAAGGGAGGGTGGCTGGGACCTGAGGGTGGAGTTGGGCAGCCAGGTTGGATATAAAAAACCAAACACGTGGGCCTTGGGCTCTCTCTGGCTCGCGATCGCTCGCCTCCTGGCTTCACCGCTCCTGGCTGGCAGCCAACTCTGAGAGCGCCATTTTGGGATTCCTGATCAGCGGATAGGGTAGGACTCATTTAAAACTTTGTCTCCCACTTTTCTCCCAGAGCTGTACATTTCCTCATTTCCCTTTCCCTTGTAAATAAACCTTTTATTAACCTTTCACGTGTGCCTGCAGTAGAGCATTGATAAGTCCTTTCAAGCGCGTGGGTGAGGACCCACAGTCAAGCACCCCGTTTTGTATCGGGGTTGCTCTACAACAGTTCTGCCTGTTCTGCTCCCTACTCTGTCTCTGGTGAATCCTCTCACCCTCCCCCCACACCTCTGTCCTACACCCCAGTTCTTCTATACATAAATAAATAAAATAAATCTTTAAAAAACAAAGTTATTCTTATTAAAAAAAAAAAGAAAGAAAGAGGAAGTTCCAGATTCCCTGCCCCACCCAAGGAAGGGTGGAGATGAGCAGCAAGGAGAAGCTAGACAACTGGGAAGAAGACCTGGAGGGGGCATGCGAAGAAGTTGTTTTGCCTCTCGGCCTTGGGCTTGTACCAGGGACTTGGGGGACATGGAAGGAGACACTTGGAAAAGACAGAGACATGGATGAGAGACCCGTGGGGAGGCTGACAATGGCAGCCTTCATCTTGACTTGGTTTTTGATTTTGCTCCTTTCCTTCCAGACTTGCCTGGCCCCTTCTGCCCCTTTCCTATGGGTCTCCACCAGAAGTTGCCTTAGACTTAGGGCAGGCGTTCAGGCCTCAGTGACTCTGCTTTGGGCCAAGTTTGGTTGGGCAATTACCCATGTGGGGAAGGGTAATTTTCGGTGTTTGATTTGGAAACTATCTTCCTCTTTATTTGTCTCTATTGCACACTCATGTTCAATTTCGCACTAATTCTATTAAAGTTCTTTTTGATTGAAGGTCTTATGCATTAAGAGTATATTTGCTTTTATGGGGTGGATGGCAGAACCCATTTAGAACATGCAGGTTTGGGGGTGCCCAGGGTGCCCCTCCGTCTGCCCACTAACAATATCATTTTTCTCTCACTTTAGATATATAAACATATTTATTTGTTTGCCTATTTCTTTTTTGCAAACCATTGGTTGTTAATTGAGATATAACCACACATTAGCCCTTCAGTACATATCTCCTAAGAGCAGCTACATTCTCCTATATATCCACAATACAATGGCCAGTCTCAGGAAATATAATCATATTCAAAATTCACCAATTCTCCCTAACGACTTTTTTTTTTTTTTGGTGCTGTTCTTTTTTCCCCCCTTTTGGTCTAGGATCACACATGCTTCTTTAACATCTTTTAATTTAGAACAGTTTCCAAGCCTTTTGTTTCAGTCTTTCCTGACAATGACATTTTTGAAGAGTTCAGGCCAATTTTGCAGAACAATTTTCTATTTTTCTTTTTATACATTTTAAAAGAACAGGTTTATTAAGAAAAGGAGAAAGAAAAAGAGGCACCTGCATAGGAAATACTATCAGAATGTATCATTCTTTGTGCATGATGATGGGGCCATATGATATCTATTTGTTCCACTAATGATGAT